TGACCCCACACACATACTCTCTATGTAGAGCAAGGCACAGAGAGGAAATAAGGGGAAAGTTTTTCTCCCATATTGAAATGTGTTTCTTAATGCTTAACTAATATCATGCTTTCATACATGTTTAATTGAATGACGTAAGTTCTTGAAATATTTTAAAAACTTGAGGTCCCTTTATTTTAAATAGTCTGTGAAAATGCATGTTAAAGATTTATTTAAATTAATTTCTTACGAAATAATCATTTTGAGTTAGTCCTTGATTAACCATGGTTAGTATAATAATTTAAATTTTAATTTAGAGCACCTTTACATTGAATCAAGAACAGGCATATAAATTCATTACTAATTATTGATTTCCAATATGCAAAACAGATGCAAACATAAATTTAAGACTGAAACTTCCAATTAAAAAATTGAGATCGCAAAAATTTATAGACTTAGCATTCTTTTTGGACATAATGATTTGTGACATAATGTTTAGTTTAAATTTTGATGATGACAAATATAGATGAGTTAATAATACTTATCCCTAATTATTTTCATATATATATATATATATAGAGTAGTTAATTATGACTATGAAACAAGCATTTTAACATGTTTTTACTTATGTTTTTCCATATTACATGAGATTTTTAAAAAATAATTTGTGTATCAAAGTTATTTTATACTATCATATTTTTTCTTATCTTAAATTCTATATCCAAGAATGTTCATAGTATCTTATTTCATAACTTGGATATATACATAATGACATTTAAACTAACCATTTTATTCATAATATATCACTTAAAATTGTCCAAAGTGAAGATAAGAGTAAGCATGAAGAGGAAGAAATCGGAGTCATTATTAGCATGAATGTCACACTTAAGATGGGAGAATATAAAGAGAAGGATGATACAAGAAAAGTTTAAGAAGAATGAAGACATTGATACAAGCTTGAATGCACCTTGAAAGCCTTGGACTTGATAGGTATAATATCATTATGCTAGAAGTCTTTATGTTAAATTTATTGATTTAGATATGTAATATTAGCTCAAGATATCTTAAATCAAAACATGTATTTTAGCTTTTAAGAGAAATAGTGAGATATAATTTTTTATAATCATATTTTTTTATTTTTGATCACATATATCTCTCAAATTTTAAAATGTTTTGATTACTAACTTTATAATGTTTTTAAAGTTGTTCTATTGGCTCAAAATGAAGTTAAGTTGAAAAAGTCATGAATACTTAAAGTCTAAGCTTTGAAAAGGCAATTGTGCAAAAAATCAGTTTTGATCTTTAGTCATATTTCTTATCATATCTCTCACTATACAGATTATTTTAATATGAAACATATCTTATTTGAAAATAGACTCTAACATATTTTTAATAATAGTTTATTTATTCAAAATAGAGTTTTATTGAAAAAGATATGAATTTTAGAAGTTAAGTGTTAAGATATTGATTCTGCACAACATTCAAACTTGACCTTTGTTCACTCTTTTGATCATATCTCAAAAGTTACATTGAATTTAAGTGTAAAATTATTTTACTAAAAACTAGATTTCAAGAGCTTTTCAATGATATATAATTTTTCAAATTTGGAGTTGTATTGAGTAAGTTAAAACTTTATGAAATTATGTGCAATGAAACCCTCCAAAACACGCGTGATTACATCTTGGTCACATGCGTGAAACGTCCAAAAATAGCCTCAATGTCCAAATCATGTGTGAAACACCTTGTACACACACATGAAACGTCACCCAGAAACCTGACATTTCAAGCATGATTTGTCATGTTCCTAAGCAAGATTTGTCACCTTTGCTTGTGAAAATTCCAAAACATGCGTGGATAAGCCTTAGTTCCACATAAGATTTGTCACCAATGGTTAGAATCACTGTGCAACGACTATAAAAGGTCATATGATGTCTCTAATACTTATTTCACTTTATAGGCTATAAATATAACATTCTAAACTTATCTTAACAAGTGATTGACCTCAGAAATTATCAAAATATGAAATTCATGTTCATAGTACTCTTAGTATATGAAAATCATTGTTCTTGAGTCAAGATCATCTATATTTTCACCATTTGAGTATTAGAGCTTTATTGTACTCATCATTGCTCTTAGAGAGAGTTTGAATTAAGTGATTTATATATTCAACATCATTGTAAAGGTGAGGGAGTGATTTTCTTGTAATTAAGAGAGGTTGTTTTCTTGTGAAAACAAGCTCACTAGTAAAATGAGTTGTTATAAAAACTCACAAGTGCTTGAACTAAACTTGTGATTGTATTATGATGGCAAGTACCCAAAGAAGCCGAACTAGGATAAATCATAGTTAGCATTTTTTCTTTCCTTAACTCTTTATATTTCCAGCAATCTTATTTAATGCTATATTTTAGTGTATAAAATTGAATTTGATATATTTACTTACTCTTATTCAAACTTTCACTTAGAAATTGATTTTACACATATTGAGCTTGTGAAAATTACTTTAACATTCTTGCAATAAGAGTTTAATACTTGAATTTACTTAAACTTTCTTTTAAGCACAGTTTTGTTGAAAAAGTTTCAAAAGCATTGTAAATTTTCACAAACACCCAACTCACCTCCGCTCTTGGGTGTGTTGCCATATCTAACACTCCTTTCCCTCAAGGTGTTCGCATCCTCGATTATGCTAAAATACTTTTCTCTAAAATAGTCTTTGGATTTTGGGTCCTCCCTATTCTGCCTCTCACTCTGTTTTGGTGATGGTTCATTCTGCGTCTCTCGCACACAATGATAGTGAATATGATAGGGAAAAATCAAACTTACCACTTTGTAGATCTGTAGAGCGAAACCACACCCATCAGACAATAGCCCCAACAGCAGAAGGCAAATTAGGATTCGAGGATAGATGACCACACAGAATCAAACAGATCCTGTGAGACAATATGATAGAAAAAGAACAATAATAAGAGATACAAATGACCACTCTGCAACTATATTATGGGACACGTCCAATGATTCGCCCCTAGGAAAAGTTGAAATTAAGACAAAAATCAACGGTAAGTAACAAAACACACATGAAAATGGATTATCCCTTAAAGCTGTTAAACATATAAGAGTGACACAAAAAACCCCTCACTTGCCCTCAAGTGTGACCTGCCCACAAACTAATAAACTCCTTGTGACAAGCCAAAAGCCCTTCATCTAGACTCCATCGCCCTAAAATCCTTAAACACGAAAACCAGCCGATGGGAATAGGAATCTAGGGTGTGTTTGGTAACCCACTTTGACATCTGGGAAGCACTTTCTTACTTTTAGGATGTGAGATGATGCTTGAAAAAAAATAAAAAGATGAAAATGTATCCCAAAAATACTTTAAGAATGTTATTGGAAGTAGATTTTGTGAATGTAAAATGATGAAGCTTTTAAAAAGTGAATTTAAAAAGTGGAGTATAATTTGACCATTATATCCCAAGTGTAATCTATTCTTCTTATATTTAAAAAATATTGTTAATTCATTAAAAATATAATAATCATTTAAATAATAATTAGAGATCAAGTTTTTAGCATTGTACATTGAATAATTAATCATGTTAATTTTTGACATTGATATATATATATATATATATTCAATTATTTATAAATTTTTTGTCTAATAAATAAAATTTTATTTTTTATACTTTTATTATTTAATATATCAAATTTTATGTTATTTAAAATTTTTATCAATCAAAGGAAGATTTGTCTGGTTGGTTAAATTTTTTTAAATAAAAAAATGTATCATATTTTTGAATCATATTAATTTTTAATATTAATGTATATTGGACTATTTATCATGCACAAATCAAACTTTATATTTTTTATTCTTATTATTTAATATATTAAATTTTATATTATTTTAAATTTTTTTACATTTTTTAAACATTTCTAGTGTTAATATATTATATTTGACTAACAAAAATTATAAATTAATATTTTTTTATTATTGTATATTTAAAAGTACATTTTAAAAATATAAATCATCATTAATTTAAATAAATTTTAATTTATATTTTTTTTAAAAAATATTTAAAATTAAAATTTATTATAATAATTGACTTGAATTAATTTTTATTAAATAAATTTTTAATAAATAAAAAACCAATCACACACTCAAATTCTAATGGAAACCGTGCACCCCAAGAAACGTGGGGAGGAAGAATGGCATAGGCGATCAGGTCAAGCTGAGGTGGACCAACAAAACGAGCATCGGCGTCACCTGTCCAGATGGCAAGAGTATGAACACTGCACAGGAACCTAAGAAAGACAAGCCCACCGAAGACCTCTGGGTCTACTGGTACTGTATTGTGCCTTTGTGCATTAGGTTATGGGCTCGATCTCTGGCTCATCAAGCATAATGCTTGTCCTTAAAATTCAAAAAAAAAAAAAAAAAAGAAAGACAACCACTGTTTAACTACTAATAAACTCAAATAATCAGAATGAAAAAAACTCAACCCCGTTGGATGAGAAGGGGCTTCCTTAACTAAATAGTCTGCTGCATTATTCCCTTCTCCAGACCAAGAAATAATAGATAGGAATATAATATGAAATTAAAATTTATTTTTAAAACTTTCAGAAATATCTATAAATATATAATAATCATTTGTAAATTTATTAAAACCACTTGAAAGATATTCTAAATTATTCGTAATTTTTTCATTTCAAAGATCATAATTTAATTTTCAAATTTTAATAATTTAAAGTTTTTAATTATAATTAATGGTCTTGAAATTCTTAATTGTTTTTTCCTTTATTATTATTATTATTTATTTGGGAGAATTACATAAATGTATTGTTAATTGTCATTTTCCCTCACAACATAAGTGTATTGTTATTTTTCTTATGTAGATTGTGAATGAACTTTATAATAGTTAATTATGTTTGTGTGTAAGTTGTGCATAATTTTTATTCAAGTTAAAAAAAGAAGTTGTACATAATTTTCCCTATTTATTTCTATAGAACATAAATTAGGGTTTATGTAACAGAGTCCATCGTTAGCTCACAGCAGCGCTGAGACTCAGAGGAGACGACGCCAATGGCAGACCTTTCCGCGCCACCTACGGACCAATTAGCCTCGACCACTCTCAATGACGCCTTATCGTCTCATGTTTCAAAACATGAATTCTCCGATCGCGTCCCGATTAAATCCATCATTTCCCGTCCGGACCGCGGGTCGGGTCTCGCTGGCCAGAAGGTGAGAGTTGGCGGTTGGGTTAAGACGGGAAGGAAAGCCGACAAGGACGCTTTTGCGTTCTTGGAGCTTAACGACGGATCGTGCGCCGGGAACCTGCAGGTGATAGTGGAGGCTTCTTTAGGTGACCTCGGGCAGCTAGTACCCACTGGTACTTGCGTTGTGGTCGATGGTGAACTCAAGCTTCCTCCTGCTGGAGCAAAGCAGAAAGTGGAACTTCGGGCTGAAAAGGTTCTCCACGTAGGTCCTGTGGATCCTGCGAAGTACCCGTTACCCAAAATGAGGCTTACGCTTGAGTTTTTGCGAGATTACGTTCACCTTCGTACTAGAACTAACACGGTAATTGTTATTCTCTTGTACGTCTTCCTGTGTAACGTTCAGATAATTCGGTTATTGCCAGCATTGTTATCTGATGCTTGGATATTGAAATGACAAAATATTGATTCTGGCATAATATGCTATGTAGTATTTGAAGCCGACTCATTCTATCTTTAGGGATCCATTACACACAATGTGATTTGTCTAAACTACACCATCTTTGATCATACTAAACAGTTAGGGCGAAGGCAGAGCCTTGGAAGGGAAAACATCGGACTTTTTTTGGGAGTGGGGGGTGTGTTTGGATGCGAGCATGGAAGGCCCATACGATTTGTCAATATAGACTTTTAATACCAAAGCAAACACAATTATACAGGTAATATAATCAATAGTTTAAAAACCAACCATAGATTGAACCGGCGGATAGATACCATTTTGCTGTTAAATGGTCTCAACCTTTTATACACACACACATATATAAATATTATATATATACATGTATTGTAAAATAATATCTATATACTAAATGTAGATATTTAATAATAGAAAAGTTATGTATTTTCTTATGTTTACAAATTCATATGAGATGGCTGGGATGAAGTCAATCAAACATCATAATAGTCATTGTGGAATGACCAAGCGAGAAATGAAAGTTCGAATTTTGGTTTTTGACTATTTTGGTGTCAAATCAGTCAGTTTTTGGCCAGAGGGATTTCAAGGTCAACCAGATTGAAACCATGGCTGGTTGGATCCGGTATCATCTAATCTGGGTATATTTTCATATTAGGGACTGCTTACTCTGTTGGTATTGTATGTTAAAGTCAATGTTGGTTGTTGAATGCATTATGCTTTCTTTTATTACATTTCCATTTTAATGTCAACAATTTATCGTATGCTGCCCATTTTATTAATTTATAATAGTTCATCTTTTCAGCATTTCACTTATTATCATTGATATAATTCCAGATATCTGCAGTTGCTCGAATCCGTGATGCTCTTGCCTATGCAACACACACTTTCTTCCACAGGCATGGATTTCTTTATGTGCACACACCCATCATCACTACTAGTGATTGTGAAGGTGCGGGTGAAATGTTTCAAGTCACGACCTTGCTCAGTGAAGCAGAGAAACTGGAGAAGGAATTGCGAGAAAATCCTCCTCCATCAGAGGATGATGTAGAAGCTGCTAGAGTTCTGGTTAAGGAGAAAGGGGATGTTGTTTCACAACTGAAATCTAGTAAAGCAAGTAAGCAGGAAATTAGTGCTTCTGTGGATGTGCTAAAAAAAGCAAAGGAGTATCTCTCAAAACTGGAAGAGAGATCCAGACTCCAACCTGGTATTCCTCAAAAGGATGGGAAGACTGACTATACCCGAGATTTCTTTGCCCGTCAAGCATTTTTGACTGTTTCAGGCCAACTTCAAGTTGAGTCCTATGTATGTGCTCTCAGTAATGTGTATACCTTTGGGCCAACTTTTCGTGCAGAACATTCCCACACTTCAAGGCATTTGGCAGAATTTTGGATGATTGAACCTGAAATTGCATTTGCAGATTTGAAGGTACATGAATTTCAATTCAACATCTGTATTTTCTTAGTTATCAAGAGAAGAAGTTGCTGTAAGTTATGGAATGGACTGCTTTTGTTGTTCATTTTCTCTTTTTCCAAATGTAATCATTCTATATATTTCTTGTTGCTGTAGTTGTTACTTTGCCAGCATACTCTACTGAATCACAGTTCATGCACTCAATTTTGGGTTCTATGAACTTGTGAATTTCCTAATGCAATGTCCAACAGCCCTCTTCTCCCTATCCTATTGCAGTTCTATCTTTTTTGTTGGATGATAATATTGATTCATATGTTTCTGTTGCGCTTTAGGATGATATGAATTGTGCAGAGGCATATGTGAAATTTATGTGTCAGTGGTTACTTGATAATTGCCTTGAAGATATGGAGTTTATGGCAGATAAGTTTGATAAAGGGTGCATTGATCGCCTGAAAATGGTTGCTTCCACTCCATTTGTGCGTCTTTCGTATACTGAAGCAGTGGAAATACTAGAGGAGGCTGTAAAGAATGGTAAAAAGTTTGACAATGAAGTGAAATGGGGGATTGACTTAGCATCTGAGCATGAAAGGTAATTTGAAGTTTGTGTTTTTATTTTCTTGTCTTGTTCTTGATTTGAGGTAAATGATATATTGGGGGCATGATGTTCTGTAGGTTTTTAACAGAGGTGAAGTTTCAGAAGCCTGTCATTGTATTTAACTATCCAAAAGATATCAAAGCATTCTACATGCGGCTCAATGATGACTTAAAGACTGTGGCTGCCATGGATGTTCTTGTACCAAAGGTAATCCAACATATTCTTCATATGTGAATTTCATTGTAGCTAGGTATTGTGACTAATGTTTTTAGAACCAGACTGGATATTGAACCGGAAAGGCTAGCGATTCACAATTCGCATGGGTCAACCTTGAATCGGTGACGTAATAATTAAATAAAAATAATATTAAATGTATATATAAAATAAATAAAAGAAAACAAATCTATAGTATGTTAATAAAATGACATAACATAATTGCAAATTAATAATATTATAAATTATAATTTTATAACTTGTCAAATATAGATGGATCTTGGTTAAATTAAACATGAGTGAATACAAAAGTATCTGTATTTGCATTTAGAATTGTCAACATCTTTATAAAAAAAATGGTCTTAAATTATATTTTATACATATGAATTGTCTAAAAATAAAGTTGAATTTTTCTAGTTTTTTTTTTAAAATTTTTTAAGCTGTTTTAATATTATATTTAAAACTGTCCGGTTTTATGAAAATCGCTCCGTTTTTTAGCTCAATAATAGCTCAATACAGGTCTAATCTGTCTCAATATGAAAACAGTTTTGTGGTCCAAACTGAGCCATTAACGGCTCTATAATCAAAGGTTCGGCTGTCTAGTTCGGTCTAATTTTTAAATTGTTGGTTGTGCACATCTTGGTAATAATGCACAAATAATTTCAGGTTGGAGAGTTAATTGGTGGAAGCCAAAGGGAAGAGCGCTATGATGTCATCCAGCAGAGGTTTGAGAAAATACTGTGTCTATCAATTTGCTTTCTTATCTTTTTTGTATTTTCATTTGGGGCAATTTCATTCTTAAACTATAAATCTAAGGGATTTTGGGATCATAAACTTAATTTTGATATAATAATTTTTTTTAACATTTAAAAACGATGCAATATCACCTTTACCATTAGCACAAGTTAGCTTTGACTATTAGTTGATTAGAAAATTGCAGAAAATAACCTTAAAAATTACAAGAAATGATCAATCTTTTTTGTCATTTTTGAGATTTTTTTCTTTTTGTAATTTTTTTGTCAACTAATGATTAAAGTTAACATATGTTAGTGATAGGGGTAAAATTACATTGTTTTTAAAAATTAAAAATTTTTTATACAAAAAACGAGCTTAGGTTCCCGGACACCTACCTCGAGGATCTGTAACTTTGGGGCAAATTTGCTATTTAACCTTTTTTTACTTTTTTTTTTTTCCAGTGGAGGGTTTTATAGTCCTTAGATGAATGAAGACATCCTATTAGTATGTGCCTGGTTGGTTTACTTCATTATTATTTGAAATATTTTCTGTATTGCAGAATAAAGGAGATGGATCTGCCTATTGAGCCATATGAGTGGTACCTTGACCTGAGGCGGTATGGGACTGTGAAGCATTCAGGCTTTGGTCTTGGCTTTGAACGGATGATTCTTTTTGCTACAGGCTTGGATAATATTCGAGATGTGATTCCCTTTCCTCGCTACCCCGGCAGAGCTGATCTTTGATTATAACGATTCTGTTGCAGAAAGCAGAAATTTAATTTAGTTTTAAAATACAACATGGCAGTAGCTGTATTTGCTCATTCTTATCCCAACTGTACCCTTACTACGAAGGAAATCTTTGTTTAATCAATTCTTAAATCCATATTTATTGTGCATTTTATATATTTTACAGATGTAATTGTTGGATTCGTAATCATGATATGACCAATATAGTGTTATATTTTTGTCACTTGTTTTTCCCTTGTTTGGATAGAGAGAAACGGTTTTGGGGTTTAAAGAACATTATGAAGGCCTTTCAACGGATCATCATATGGAGTATGGACTGAGCTTGCTGGTGTTGTCAAGCATCAACCATCGGATGGAACAATCAGCCATGCTTGAATGTAAGTGCCTATAGGAACTATAAAGTGTATTAATAATAAGAGTTTATTATAGCATACATGATCTATAAAAGATTTAATTGAATTGTAAACAAGTATTTTAAATTTGTAAAATTAATTATAAAAGCTTTTTTCCTTCTAAAATTGAAAACTGTCAATGAAAGGGCCCAAAGCGAGATTAGCACAATCACTAGGGATTTCATCAAGAGCAACTGAAGAGTTTCCTCCGAATGAGCTATTTTTGTAAGGTGATCAGCAAGCTTTAAGCAATCTCTACGTGCAAAATGAAGCTTGATGTCCCAGTTTTCATACACTAGTGACACTATCTGTGGCAGTGATCTGGCATCATATAGTTTTGACCAGCTGTGAAACTGGAAATGAAATAAATAGATAAAAATAATATTAAATACATATAATACACACACACACACAAGAAATAAATTTACAATTTGTCTTGTTAAAAAAAAAAAAAATGTAACATGATCATAAATCATTAATATCATAAACTATAATTTTACAGGTTATCAAGTATAGGTGATTAAATTATGGATGATTACTTATAAATACCTATATTTGCACCTATAACCATCAATATCTTCTTATAAAAATGGTCTTAAATCATATTAAATGTAGGTGAATGGTTTAAAAATGAAGTTGATTTTTAATATAATCTGAGTTTTGAATTTTTTTATAATTTTTTAATTATATTTAAAACCATTTGTTTTTTAAAAATTGTTTCAGTTTTTGATTCAACTCCGGTCTAACTAGGCTTAAATGTGAAAATGTTTATTTTTTGGTCCAAATTAAGTCATTAATGACTCCAATTAACAATTCAACTGGTCCAACCATCCAGTCCTATTCTTAGCATAATGGTTGTAAGTATCTAGTGAGTTGGGCAAACATGAATCTGATCAAAATCCTTTTGTGTGCTAATCTGCAAACCATCACGTAGAGCTAACATTTTAGCAACGGCTACGGGAAGAAATCGTAAACTGCATCTGAAACCCAGAATCCATGATCAGTGTTAATTAATAATATCATTAGCACAAGCATAATGATATTATTAATTACTTTTCAACTTTATTAATGATTAATGATCGGTGTTATTAATCATAAAAATTAGGATTACTAAGTTCTCCCTCCATTTCATTTTAAAAGAAAATTTTGCGAGTCCATTGTTTCCTACTTATAAAGAGACACACCGTTGTTATTTAAAGGGTTAATATGAAATTTGTACCATAAACTATTAGTTTAGGGATAATTTGAACACTTCCTACCCTCATTTAAGAAAAATCACACATTAAATCCTATTTCAATGGATCTTTATTTAAATTTAATGGTGGGAGCAAATTGATTCAATTTTAATTATTTATAATTTAAAATATATTTTTTAAAAATTTAGGATTCAAACCGCCTCTGAACTTATAGTTCAGGCTTTAAATTGCATATTAACTCTTATTTTAATGTAAAGTATTTATTAAAATAACATTTTTCATTAAATAAGTCTCATTAATAATTAATAAGTCACTAATCATTATTTTAAGATCATCATTAAATAAGTGAGAGCATTTCTGAAAATAAAGTTGTATATATGGCTTCTTTGGGCTTTTTAGCCCCATTGTCCACAAAAAAAAAAAGTTGTACATATGGCAGATTTATATAACAGATTTTACCTCCGTTGTTCATACATTGTTAGTACTGTGAAGTATGCCTTTTTTTGTTTTTTTTTTTTTTGTGAAATGTGAAGTACAGTATGTATTTGTTCCTTATAAAAAGAAGTGGAGAGTATTTGAAATTTTAAAAATTCTTTCAATAGTCAATTAAAATAAATGTATTATACTTCAGATTGGTAATTGTCTAAATACGATACCTGAAACTAGAAAAGATATTTTTGGGAAAGTTATTTTCATTTAATTTAGGTAATACTTAAATTTAATTAAATTATTTGAATTTGGTATTGGTGTGTAAAATTTTATTTTTTAAAAAAGAGAGAGAATATTTTATATTTATAAAAAATAATACAATGATCAAAAATACTATAAATATTAAATTTTATCTAAATTCATCAATCCTAACCTTCATTTAAATCCTTTAATTTAATCATACTAGATATCAGATAACGTATTAAAAAAAAAATAACAAAGAGACCAAATTATAAATTTTTCGGCCAAAATCAAATTCTAAATTAAGAAAAGCTTAAGGGTTTTTTTTTCCAATTTGTTATCTTTTTGATATAGTATTCTATTTTTAGATATGGTCTAATTTGTTATTTCTAATAATAAAAAAAATTACCTGGCAATTTCATTGAAAGACTAATAACCTTTTACAAAAATTAGATTACCAAATTTTTTTTACAAAAATTATATATTTTATGTTACATTATAACAAAATTTATGTATTTTTTTTTTGATTCGAAATTATATATTATAATTTATTTTGGTTGATTATGTATGATTTTTTTAAAAGAAAATCATATTTTTGGGCCTAAGAAAAAGAGGCCTATGCAAGAGCTTCCCACATATTGAATTCCCACCGTTTCCGTACATAATAACTGAAAAACAAACACATCATCGTCAGACTCTAACCTCCTTTCTCTGCTTCAAAATCCCAAGCGGCGACTATCAAACATCGCCGCAATACGCAACCAATCACATTCCTCTTAAATTCAAATCTGCCACGTGTCTCCAAGTAATCGCCAGTTTCCTCATATAAAGCCTCGCGTCCCAGTTAATTACGCTGACGTCCTTCCTTTACAAGGGCCCCACTTTTTCCACGTTAGTTTTGACGGACCCCACCGTCCGTTCCGTTCTAAGCGCTTCTCTCTCCCTCTCCCTCTCCCTCTCTCTACGTACTTTCTCTCTCGCGTTCGTTTCAGTTCGCTCCTCCTCCTCCTCTCTTATTTCGTTTCTGCAAACTGAGCCAAAACCCTAATCAACCATTCTTGCAGAGCCATTGGCTGGTGCTTTGTGGCGTTCGGTTACTATCTCCTGAGCAATGTGCGGCATTGGTGGAATTGTTATGTAGTGCGAGCTTGAGCATTGTCGGATTCGTCTAATCGGGTTACCGATGGCGAAGAGCCGTTCGATTTGTGAATACCGAAAACTGCGATTGTTATTGGTTTTGGCCTTTATTATGTCTGATTTGGTAGCTCGTACCGGTCGGCTTAAGCAGCGATACGAGAACGGCTATCGCCTTGTCGCCGGGTACATTTCTCAATTTCTTGATGTGCCATTCGTGAGGATGTGGTCGGGTTTTTTTTTTTCCTCCGAATTTCTTTTCCCCTTGGGTTGTTGCTTTGCTGGATGATGTATAGGAGAAATGTCATTTTCAGCCAGAGATTTTGTATATGCAAACGTACCTTTCCTTTTAAGAAATAGCAATTCGGCTGGTAACACTATTTGCGGTTGATTTTTCTTTCTTTTTTATTCTAATAATTGATGGTTCTCTGGCTTTTTGGCTTCTATCTTTTCTTCTCATTTTCTAAGTCTTCTGGTTTGCGTTGCAACTTGTATTAGTATATCGACTGAATTTTCTCTTCGCGATATTATCCATTCCTTAATTTCACAATTCAATTCATCTGTCCAATGCAGAAGGAATAGGATAGTCAAGACCTTTCGGGTTACACGGATGCATGAGTCAGTGAATTTTTTCTGGATTTATTTATGCCTATTTGCTCCAACGATCATGTGTTCTGGATTATGTCCAGGACCGTTTTAGCAAGTTATTTTCTACATTTATTTATGAGCAGGACTACTCAACAGTCGTGCCATGTCTTGCATTTTTTTTTTAATTCTCTTTACTATTGCTTCAAATTAATGCAATTAACGTCGTTAGGAAACTGATGCCAAATGTCGAACTTTACCACGGGAAATTCTCATAACTGAGACGTTTGGATTTTGGAGTGTAAATTTAGCTTGCATAATCAATGGTAATATGAATATTTTGCCCCTCCGTTAAAGATGCAGAACTGATTAATCAATGAACGTGAATGATCTGTTTTGGTTCGTTGAATTTTGGTGCTTAGAAGGAGAATCCTTGAATGTTAGCCAATTTTGTCATCCTGTTTCGAGGCTTTTGGGATCACACTTGGGTGGATCTGGTTTGGTTGTATTTTGTGCTTTATTTTGGGTGTGGGCATCATGGCTCACAAATTAAGCAAATTAGTCTATATAGAGGTCAGGATTTGAATTTCTCGTAATCTTGTTGGTTTTCGGAAATTTTCTTAGCCGTAATCAAGTAAATTTTGAGATTGACTGGACCAACTGGTACATGGTTTGACTTTAGAAATTAGAGACTTGGATGTAGATGCTGAAATCTCAAGAATTTGTGTACTTTGGAGGGTTAACCAAAGTACCAGTGGAATTTCTTTGTTTCTTTTTCCTTTTCCTTATAGTGATATAAGCAAAATTGCATACGAGGTGGTTGATTGGGATCGAGTAATTAGATCATCACATTGACTTGCCATATTGTTTGATATATTTTTTATTTTGTTATTTTTCTTTTTTTTTTGTAAAATCTGGGCGAAATCTTGTGTTTGTCTTTCTCAAAATTATTAATCAAGTAACTCTAGTTATAGGCATTAATAGATCATTCGTCTCAACCTTTTGAGATGGTAAAATTGTGAATATAAAAAAAAAATGGAAAGAAACCTTAGAAAGAGAGAGTATGGAGATAGTTGTTGGTGATATTCTTTGCATGTTTTAATTGAAGCAAGAAGCAACTAAAACCATGCCAGCCATTTTCTTTTTGACGGGAATTGCATGACAATTGAAGAGAACTTTGATATGATTGTGTTGGCTATGTCCACTTAAAGTCTTGATCTTCCAATGCTAATGTTGCAGCCATTGCCAATTGTTGCAGATGCATTCCATTTAGGTATAGAAGTTCTGATGTTTGTGACTCTAACTCCAAGAAGATTATCGAAGTCCTTATGATTAGCTCGCCTAGTGGACCTGGCCTTTTGTTTCCAAAGGTATAAATTTTAAAATATTCAATTTTTATTTATCTTAGTGTTTAGCTTCAATTTGGTTTTTTTACAAGTTTATAACATCTATTTGACACAACAACAACAACAAACAACAACAACAAGCCTTTATCCCACTAGGTGGGTCGGCTACATGGATTGCAAGACGCCATTGTGCTCTATCATATTAAGCTTTTAGAAATATTATAATTAAGAGATCACGTCAACAACTTCCGAGTGTTCTCTTAGGCCTTCCTCTACCTCTCTTAATCGGATAAAGTTATATGTTCCACTTTCTCACTGGTGCCTCTTGGTCTTCTTGTACATGCCCAAACCATCTCAACCGATTCTACCATTTTTCCTCATATTGCCACCCTCACTTTTCACGTATGTGCTCATTTCGAATTTATCTTTACGTGTATGTCCGCACATCCATCGTAACATTCTCATCTCTGCTACTCCAACTTTATGCTCTTGCTGTCCGTTAGAGCCCAGCATTCACTACTATATAACATTGCCGTCTGATAGCAGTACGATAAAACTTTCCTTTAAGTATAGGACTTCGGTCACAAATAACTCCTTAGCTTTTTCCAATTAAACACCCAGCTTGAATTCTATGTGAAATATCTCACTGATTTCGCCCTCATTTTGAATAATGGCTCCCAAATATCTAAACTTTTCCACTTGAGGTATAATTTGATCTCCCAATTCACTTCCAATTATTTTCGAATAGTCCTTTACAAATTTACATATAAATATTCCGTCTTACTTCTACTCAGACGAAAACCTTTCGACTCCAATGTCCTCCTCCATAACTCAAGTTTGCAATTAACCTCTTCTCTTGTCTCTGCTATAAGAACTATATCATCGCGAAGAGCATACATTTCGGGATTTCCTCTGAATATGTTCCGTCAAAACATTTAAAATCAAGTTGAACTAACATCTATTTGACACATGATGAATTTTTTTCTCACGGACGTCTTTGTTTTGAGGAACATGCATATAGTAAAGAGTTCTAATATAGGAGACTTCCGGTATTTAATTCTTTTGATAATTGAAGGTTTCATATTTATTGATATTGAGATGTTTATTTTATGGATGGTTTAAAATTGTAAATTATAATGCTTGAGGCATTGTTGATGTAACTTTGTCAACTTCCTTCTTCCTTTAGTTAACATTGTTTCTACTTTTGCATAACTACAATACTTACCCTAAAATTTTGAGCTTAAAAGAAAAAAAAAAGACTTGCAGTTTGTTCAACTTTTGTGTTTCCATTGAATATATGGAAATGAAAACTGTATTTTTCAATTTTTGTGCCTTTACCATGTGGAAAGAAAGGAAACATGCACTGCACATAAATTTATAATGTTCTTGTAAATGTGAGAGTGACAATGATATGGTTGTGACTAAAAATTTAAACTTTTAGAGAACTTAGGTAGCTCATTCTTGTAAGGTTTTGGCTTACCTTGAGCGAAGTAATGGCTTCAATTATTGAGGTCCTCAGCTGGCTACTGGTTTTAAAAGGACTATAAAATTGGTAGAATGACCTTGATGAACTTGGTACAGAAACTTTGATTAAGAACCAAAAGAAAGCTTATCTCATACAACTTTTTGATGATGAACAAAAAGATGCATCAGATGAGGATTGCTGTATTTTGCTTTAATCCTTTGCTGGAATAGAGCTACATAAGTTGGTAGGTGACAAGGTATAACAGAAACCATGTTTACAAGGTGCCTACAAATGTACTAAGGCATATGGATTGAATGCTCTAGCATCTTGTGTTGAATCTTTTCACAGGATATAGTTTCTGATGATTGGGAAACGCTTGGTTAAATAAAACTCAATTGAATTGAGTGATTATGCTGATTATGAAATCTGCTTCACAGTCCAAATTACTGAACAAGCTAACTATGTGCTTTATTTGTATCTGGTGGGAACAAAAATTGCTAGATATTGCCCCAAACTTTTAATTCTATGCTTATCATTGCACAAGGCCATTGACAGATTGCTACTTTTGCATTTTTTCCTTCCCACTAAAACTCCTGTAAAAAAATTTTAAAACCTTATGCTTTGGGAGACCACAGATTTTTTTTTTTTTTTTTTGACAAGAGCACTAGCATGTATTGGCAGTACACGGCCATGCCTCACTTTATTTTGACAAACTTAATTACATCATGTGATGGGATAATGGGATTCCAAAATAAAGTTTCGTTACAAGATTGATGTTTATGGTAGAGGTCAATGTTTGACTTGTGAGACTAAATTTATTCACTGAGGTACCATGCCTTCAATTAATGTAATAGTTTTACATTTGTATTTTATCTTATTAATCCATGTAAAGGTTTATCTTGAAATGAAACTATGTGACAAATTAGATGTTATTGTGCTTGAAGGCTAACTCAAGATTATAATAATTCAAGATTTCATTGAAAGTTTACTTTAAATTTCTATATAATTCTTGATGAAATACCTTTATTGCTTGGGTATTGTATGATGGAAAGGATTATTCAGCCTTGTAGTGAATTGCCTGCAACTTCATACTGAGGAATCCCTTGAAATGTTACTACTACATAGGTGTTTTCCCTAATAAAATTATTTTGGTTAAGGCCAACTTTGGTGAACTTAAGTGGGTCCCCATCTGATATTTTTCCTTTTTTAATGTTACTACTATCAAAGGGAGGTTGGGAGAATGATGAAACTGTTGAGGAGGCAGCTACAAGAGAATCAATTGAAGAAGCAGGAGTTCGAGGGGACCTAATGGTAAATTTTCCTAATTTTCCGCCTATTTCCATTCTGTTTTAGCAATTTTCATTATGCAAGTATTTAATGTTATTTTTCTTTTAAATTTAAAATCAATGTTTAACTGTGTTATGCGTATAATAACTAAAAAAGTCTGACAAACTCTAGACAAAGTGGAGGTCTTATTTTTCAGATTAGTCTAGTCTTGTGTATTTGAAAAGTGAAATAAGAATGAATTTTTACCCCTGTTGGGTGGGGTATCTTCAAAAATTAACGGTTGAAATATATATATTTTTCCCCCTCAAGATAAGTTTTGAGGCTTTATGAATAGACAGGTATGGACTGAAGTGATTATTTATTTGTTTTTTGAATTTCTTTAGTAGATTTTGTCATTCGGTTTGGACGGATTCTCTTAAAACAATGTTCCATACTTTTTTTTAATGGGTTTCAGGGTTTTCTTGGTTACTTTGAGTTTAGGAGCAAGACCCACCAAGATGAGTTCAATCCAGAAGGATTGTGCAAAGCAGCAATGTTTGCCTTGTTGGTTAAGGAAGAGCTTCATACATGGCCTGAGCAGAAGTTTAGAAATAGGAGTTGGCTGTCCATATCAGAAGCATTTGAAAGCTGTCGACATGCATGGATGAGGGATGCTTTGGATTGTTTCTGCAAATGGCATGAGTGTGGATTGGCAGGCACAAGGGACGATTTTCCTAAAGTCACAACTTAAATAAAATATTTAAGGTGTTTGCTATCAGATTATTCAATACAAATATATAATGTAAAAGAATATTTTTGAAAAGATCAATCATGCGGTGCTAAAGCATGTCTACATGTGATGTTTTTTTGTTAAAAAACTTGATAGCAAACCACAACCATGGTTAGTATTTTTTTTTTTTTCATTTCTTAAATAGGTTTTGTTTTCTTATTTATCTCTAGGTACTTCATCAACTGAAATTTGAAAGTTGATCATGGGGTAATATTACTTTGCAGAGTTATTATATTTCTAATTAGAATTAGAATTACATGATTACTATTACAATCTTTCGATTAACCTTAGCATTAAGTTGCATTTATAAGCTGAGTTTATATTCACATATTAGTTCATGTGATTCTTGCTTCTACATGGGTTTTTACTAACTCTTGCATGAGCTTATATAATTATTTCTCCTTATTTAACTCATGCTGCTGCTCTTCCAGTTCATGTAATTCTTAGTCCTCGTATGGTATGGTTGCCCTATTTTTATTTATTCAATTTATTTTTTCTTAATAAATTATAACATTAATATATAAGAAGTTTTTACTGATAGTTTAGCTAAAGTATGAAAATAATTTATTAAGAAAATAATTTATAACATTAATATATAAGAAGTTTTTACTTATATTTTAGCTAAAGTATGAAAATAATTTATTAAGAAAATAATTTATATTTTACCTATTTTTATCCTTTTGAATTGAATTATATGAAAATAATTTCCCTTAAAAACTTCATAATTAACCCTCCAACCTGTCGCATTTATACAAATATTTCAGGCCCTGTTAATTTACCTTACTTGAAATATATGATGTCAATAGTCAAATAATTGGATCTAAAAAATTATCCCAAAAGCTTGACACTTCAGAACAAATTTTTTCTTTTGGGGGTCGAGTTTTTAAAAATGAATAGGTCAAACAGTCATGGTTGAGAGTTTTGTATGATGCAACTTTATTTCCTAACAATATAAAACATTCCAAAACATTTTGGGGACGGTTTTACTTAAAATGAAAACACAAGTAATCGGTAAAAATGTGACCATTCCATTCAAAAAATAATGCATAGTTAGGAGAGAGAGAGAGAGAGAAGGAAAAAAAAAAATGACATAAGTCGATCAGAAGAGAATTTGTACAATAATATACGTAACGTATATATACCTCAAAATCTGGGAATACATGCTTTATGAGTTATGAATATGAATGACCTATTGCCAATTTTCATCATGTCTTCTTTCAAATCTCCAATAATTTCTGGCATGGCAAGCCAGACTTCCTCCCTTCCTCCCTAACTCCATCCATTTTCCAACTGTTTATTGCAAGAATCGATCCAGTTAAAATTGCTTTTCAACCGTCAGGGCATAAGTTATTATGTGGGAGCAAGGAACAGGAAGCGTTCCACTTCTTTGCACAAGCCTAGGCCCCAAAAACAAGAAGGCTAACGAGCTGAATGAGAAAAGCAAGTTATGATACAAAGCTCAGATGATGGGATCCAAAATCAATTCTCATCGAGAACGATATCGGCAGGGTCTCCGATCCAGGGCCTCCCTTCCCGCCATCGGAACTTAATTCTTAGCTTACCATTTGAATCTACTCCAATCACCTGTCCCTTGCTAGCATGTGTCTCCATTCCCCATCCCCACCGGGGTGATACGAGTCCATCTCGGATCCTTACTTTGTCCCCAACTTTAAATGGTCTAACTCTTTCCATTTCCCATGCCTTGCAAAGCCATAGCCTCTCAGTGAAGCAGAATGCTACCCAAAGATCATCATCTTCCATGCGATGCACAACCCCTATGCTTGAATGGTTCACTTCTCCCCACTGGTGGGTTGGGGTTGAAACAGATGCTCTAACTTTGACCCAGTCTCCAATCTGGAGCTCCTCCTCTTCTATCAAATCCACTTCTGATGGGTCCAGCATCCATGCTTTCGATCCTGCAGGAGTGTATATTCGAAGCTTTCCGTCAGCATCAATAGCTGATATGGTTCCGATACTAGCATGGGTGTGTCCAGACCACCCAAATCTTGGCTGCTTTACAGTTTGTCTAACTCTAACCTTCTGTCCAACAATGAGTTTCTCAACTCTTTCAAGATGGGAAGTTTGGCCTAGCCACCTTTCTTGTTCCCCACAAAAGCCAACATGAATTTTTCCATCCCACAGATCACCTTCATACCCTATTCCTTGTACAACACCAACACTACCCGGTCCAACAGATTTCCAGCTATCGGCATTATCTTTCAACTTCACCCATTCTCCAACTTCAAACATGTGCTCAATCTCAAGGTCCACAGGGTCTCCTCTCCACAAACCTGGCAAACCAAAGAATGCCACCCTCACTTCTCCATCAGCATGTATATTGGTTATAACACCTCGTGATTCAGGTTGAGCTCCTCTCCAGCCCCACCTTGGTTCAACCAAACCAGTTCTGAACCTAACATACTGCCCAACTTTAAAGCAAGGAACCTTTTCAACATCTGTATAATGAGTGATCCACTTCCCTTTACGAAAACAGCAAGCCAATTCCAAGTATCCAGAATCCTGCACACTATGCACAACAGCTATACTTTCTTTTCCAACGCTATTCCAGTCATAACTTGGTCTGGTTCCTAGGCTTGGTTTTGAGCGTACCCAATCACCAACTTCAAATCCAGGCAGTTGTTCTGCATCTCCAGGAGAAACTTTCCACAAGCTCTGCCGACCAGTGACTCTCACCTGTGAAGAATAGCAGAATCACAAGTCTAGCAATTTAGAGATGAATTCACAGTTAACCTAGCCACTGATAATCTTTTTCTTATCACAAAAGCGATCAATAGTTCAGTCAACCTAATTTTCTCATAATGAACTGTGTGCGCTTGGTGGGGTGAGAAGAGAGAGAGAGAGAGAGAGAGAGAGAGTAATGTCTGCAAGGATATAAGCAAAGTGATTTTCTCATGACCTTATGGGCGGTCAGAGTTATAAGGCAACTTGTTAACAGCAGAAATAGCTCTGATGAATGGCTATTTCCAAGGTGTTGCTATATGGCGCTGTAATGCCTATCCCTACAGCATTATATGACTTGTATGATTTATGCAAAATACCTCTACTTGAACCAAGGTCCTATTCAGCTATCATTTTGGATGACATGTCAGAAGTTTTTGTTTGGTTTAAAGAACTAGAAATATCTGGAGCAAGATTTATGAAAAACTAAACTAGTAAGCTTACATTTAGAGCACCATCCATGTCAATTCTCACTATTTTTCCAACAGAAGCTGGTGATTCATTTGACCATCCGAGCCGAGGCTGAATAACAGATGGCATCACATGAATCTCTTGTCCCACCTCAAAAGGGGGAACCTTCTCCACATCAGTGACAGAGCAACAAAAAGGTTTACTCCTGAAGCAAAAGGCAATACCCATATCCCCATCCTCCTCCAAGCTATGAATTATCCCGATACTGTTCCTTGTAATATCCTCCCATCCATACTTTGGAGAAGACACAGAAGCTTTCACTCTGACCCAGTCTCCAACCTGTTTCAGCAAAAGTTAATAAATTATAATAGGGTAAATATTAAGCATCTAGCAATAGATAGTTGAAAGCATAAACATAATATGGCAGAAAACAGCAGGCAGCAGGAACAACCACCTTAAAATCTTCCACCTTCTCCATGTCAGATGGATCAGCCTGCCACGGTATGGGTCGATTTGGTATATCAATTATTAATAAACCATCATTCTCTATCTCACTGATTCTTCCGACACTATGATGTGTCTCGCCGCCCCAAGCATATCTAGGTTCTGCAACAGATCGCTTCACACAAACCCGATCACCAATCTGTAATGTCAACAATTTGTTAGACACATGCCCAAACAAATAAAAAAAAACTTTCCAATGGAAGGAAAATGGCAGTCTACATTTTTCTTACCCTAAAAGGAGCAACATGCTCAACCTCTTCTGGTTCACAATGCCATGGATTTGGCAGATAGCTCAGTTCAATTAAGAGACTACTGTCTGGTCTGATACAATATACTATACCAATACTTCCAGGTGTCACAGACCCTAATCCATGCTTTGCAGATGTAAGAGTGGGGCGAATACGGACCCAATCTCCAACCTTGAATTCCTCAACCCGTTCCATCTCAGATGGATCAGCTTTCCATCCTCTAGATGCTCCAGGAAACCCTACACGAAGGATCCCATCATCATCAACACATAAAACTGTCCCGATGCTGTCACGTGACTGCCCACGCCAACCAAACCTAACATGGATAATCAGTTATTAATAGTGTAGGAAAATTAAAAGGCAGCAAGCATTAAGAATTTGTGAAATACATGAGGCACTAAATAACAAGAACTTATGTCAAATGTGGGTCTTTTCTATTTTAGTTTCCTTTTACATTGAAATTAGAGCTTGCCAAGAGAATAAGCATATGCCATGCATGAGGAACTAATTAAGAGATTATTATTCAAATTTCAAACATGGATCTCATCCAATCTTTTCACTTCTAAACAATGAAACGAGCCTGAAAAGAGAATAAAGAGCAAAGCATTAACTCTTCCGGACAAAAAGGTAAACATGTATGAAGACACCACCCAACGAAATCAAGTGATAGTATTTCCCAATCATATCTTAAGCATGTTTTACAAAACACACCTGGAGAGGGGAAAGGATTTCAAAGAAATGCTACAATGACAAGAAAAGCATACCCCACAGCAAGTTTAAGGTTATACAGCCTTTATGGATAAAGCACATCAGGTAGATATTAGCACTTAGGTAGCTAAGATCACCAGGGAATTTCAAATTTTTTATCAGTTTCCTTATTATTTCTCCAGCTACCCAGAGTTCATAATTCATGTTTTTTCCTGTATGGTTACAGCTCCCTCTACATCAACTTCAATTAGCACAACTTATATCTTGCAGGTTTGCAGGTTTATAAAACCAGAAACCTTGGTTTCCTTGTGCACTAGAAACTCTTATACTGGAATTAACCTTCCTTTTGTTGTTGTGTGGCTTGGCAGCTCAAGAATAAAATCTTCGGAAAATTTTCTGGCCGGGCAATGGGCTTTCTCTTGTAGCTAATAGCAGTTTTTAAAATATAATTGTGATGCTTTGGGAGGATAAAGAAGCAAAAGATGAACATTGAATATGACATGCTAAATTCAAGTGCACTCGTTGGCCATAACTACTAGATTCAACCAAATTACCCTTTTAGTGTCCAGCCAATAACTTCTTTCCTGTGTCAGTGACAAACAAGGCCCATGGGCCTAAAACCATTGCTGGTTTATAAGCTTTATTCCACGTGTCCAGATTATTTTTTGTTTTTTCCCTTAACAAGCTTCAGCAACAAGCCACTAGAATCTAGGACATTTAGGATGATTTGTCAACGTGCTTTTGATTTTGTTATCTTAGTCAGATTCTAGGATCACATTTTTCTTCAACTCTTTTTTTTTTATTTCAAATTTTCAATGAGTGGAAGCTCAAGTTAATTTTTCCACGTACTTTATATTTCTCTTAAAAGGTTCTAGAATTTGAAGGACATTCCAACTTCTAAACTCACATGATAAAGAAAATAAGGGGAAAAACAAAGCAACAGAATAAAGCAGCCCACAAACATATAATAAACTGAATGAAAGATCTCTGCAATCTGTTCAGGTATCTAATAAAATTAAACAAGGTATCAATGTACATGTTTTTTTGTATTCTAATCTCCTTACTGATGTGAGCGTTAGACAAAAATGAAGAAGTTTTACTTACCACCACCACCAAGCTATATCAAACGACACCATTGTGCTCTATCAAGACAGGTATTTAGGTAATTTGCATCAAGACACAATAAATGCAAGTTCAATGTTCTAGTTTTCAAAATACACTTTTTTATTTTAAATGACTCAAAATTTTCCATATTTATTGTATAATTTACATAGAGGAGGGAATATAAAATGTGGAGGACACTAACCTCCACAAGAGGGTGTGGAAATTATCATCCTCCAACTTCTTGTTGGGAGCAAAATACTCGCTCTCATTTTCTTAAAGTAGACAAGTCTTGTGGGTATTTAAGTTGTTGTAAATAGAAAATTCTAATTAATCTTTCAAAAACCTTATCTTCATTTTAAACAAAATCTCTCTCTTGCCTCAATTTCTCCCCTCTCGTCCTTTTGACTTACATGCTCAAACAGAATTTCCTTAATTCATTCCTCTGTTTTCTTCCGTTCTTTTCAGAGGAGATGAAGTATGTAAGTGGATGATACCCTATCAATTGCAGAATTTTGTAGTTTTGCGACTTGCACACTTTTACAGTGTTTGGTCATCAGAGATGCCACAGGGGTAGCTGGTTGCCAAAGAGCTCAAAAAAGAGAGCCCAGGGTTGCCACAGAGCAGTCTTGGAGAAGTCTTCTCGGATTAGGGTGAGGAGAATATCAATTGAGGATATTTAAACCAGGGACTAAAGTTTCATAACATGAAAGAATAAGAAAACAATTATGAATGCGGAATTAAATCATTATCTGGTGGAATAGAAAGGCAGAAGGAATATGAACAAGGGAAAAAGTGTTTGCACACAATTCACAGCTGAGACTACATAGTAGTGGCCAAACTAGCGACGTGTAACTTTTGTGCTTAGCTCACATGCATTAAAAACAACAATGGTGTAACACCCCCCCCTTCAGGTCTCTGACGGGTGAAGTTCAGAACCACAATGACCACAGGTTATAAGCATGGTTTGGTTGAGTAACTCAGCTTTTCAGAGCTTCGAGTGAGATGGTTATCTCCCTTTTAAACCTTCTCTTATCCTCTCTGACCCATTTCTTAAGGGGACACAAATAGAATTTTCTTCAAAGTGAGAAAGTCAAAAAGCTTGGTTGATGACTAAGCACAATGGAATCGTGCAATTCATGAAGCCAACACCACCTAGTGGGATAAATCTTATTGTTGTTGTTGTTGAGAAAGTAAAAAGAGAGAAGATAGCAACAATATAGTTGAGAAAATTTTTTATAAAGAAATATATATCAAGAAAATAAAAAGAAAGCAGTAGAGCTTCGTTTATTTGCACAAGCTTATTTACTTACAACAGATATGAGGACTTTTTTGCATAATTGAAAAGGCTAAAGTTGAAACCATGGCCCATTGAGGACCAGTAATACAAGAGCGTGCACATACGCATGCATATGCATATATCATAATTTAGCACATATGCAAGCCAAACCTGGGCTCTTTCACATCTTCTTTGAGCTGTACATGTTGGCCCCTGTCTAGTGGAATGACTTTTACAACTTCACTTGCCAAGACATGAGCCTCTCCAGAACAAAATGACACAATAAGATTCTCCCTGTCAGGAACACTTTGCACAAAGCCAACACTCTTTTGTCTAGCACCCTGCCATCCATATGTTGGAGTCGTGACAGTTCTTTTAAACTTCACCCAATCTCCCACATCAAATCTAAATACAATCACAAATAAGCGTATTATAAACATATAATTATATACGAGTTGCACACATCCAAGATGACAACACATCATATCCCCAAAATAAAAAATAATAGCAGAAACAGATGACTTCCCATACATTGTAGAAGATAGGTGAACACCTCTTTTGGCTAGTGCCTCCATCAGATCTTCAGATATCCATTCCCGAGGAAGTGCCTCTAAGATATCACGTAGTGTCTTGCCACTGTTGTGAAAATAACAAATTAGTTAGTCATTGATTGGCACTCAAATGCAGTAAAGAACTTACGATGTTAAAATGATCAAACCATCAGTTGTTTAGAAGTTTCAGTTTCAATATTTGACAAGTTCTTCGAACATCTGTCTGTTTGTCTCACTATGTGTGCGTATGTATCATAATTATGCATAAAAAAAATGAAAAAAAGGAAAAGAGTTTCAACGTTCAGGACTTCTACTAGCCTGTGGTTTCTCATTTCAACATCAGCATCAGGATTTCTTAGCATTACAATGAGCCAATCAAGATTTTCACGGATCATTTTTGCTGTCTCTGCTGCTATATGGAAAGCATTGTCACCATCATCATCCTGATACAAAATAATCAGTATAAGAATCTGCAATCACAAAGATAACAACAAGGGTTTCCTTCCAAAAGACAGGAGGTATGTTGCATTAACAAAGGGAAATGAGTTTGATAGTCCATTGTGTGTGTCTTTTTGAGCTCATTCTATTCTTTTTGGATTTTTGTAGGGAAATGTGTGACTTAAAATCATATACATTCAATGAACTTGAAGGCTGTAAGAATATCAATACAGTAGTTGTCAAATATCACAACACAAGAATAACTCAAACAAAGAGGGGCTGCTGCAGAATTTCAACTCAGTGATGAGTAAGTTCTATATAATGAAGATCAGTTTTAGATCAAAAACAGACAAACAGAAACAGGTATGATAAATCAAAAAAAAAAAAACATGAAATCCATCACTAAAAGCACCATCTTCATTGATCAAACAACACAATGATGAGAGATGTCAATTTTATGCAATTATGAGTAATATTATGCGTGATGAAATGGCAGAAAGGGAAGCTTAAATGAAAAACCTGCAAATTATAATCAGCACCAGCAGATAGAAGCAATCCAACACATGACTTTGCCCCCCTAGCAAGAGCTAAGTGAAGAGGTATACTATTGTGCACATTGCGAATGTTCACATTGACACCAGCAGCAAGAATAACCTGCTCCAAACACCCAGAAACAAATGATTATAAGATATGGATACTTAAGCTGCCAAAAAGATATGACTAATTATTCACTTACCTTGACCAACTCAACATCATTAGTCATAGCAGCTGTATGCAAAGCTGTCCGCCCATTTTGTGTATCTTGGGCAGATGGATCTGCTCCTGCAGCAAGCAATATCTGCACCAACTCTCTGCCCTCTACATTTGGCATGAACAAACAAGATCAGATTATGCAATTATCATAATGAATAGGAGAAATAACACAGTTGGCTTTTCATACACTCTCATACTTGGGTTGAACAATTTAACAGATATACAAAAGATGGGGATTCAACAGGACAGCACTGAGTCATCAAACTCGAGGACATAAGTCAAATGTAACCAGCATTGTCATGTTAGCAGTTATGCCATCCAATTTATCACAAACCAGAGCCTCCATTCTCATTCTCGATAGCAGCATTAATATGTATGATAAAAATGGCAAGTACATAAATACAAGTACAAACACTTAAGCTTTTAAAATGAAAAAGCACTTTAGCATCTAAAGTTTTGATTTAGTTCCAACGTAATAAAAATGTTTATTTCCACAACACCAGAAATTACGAGATGTCATAAAATTCAAACAGAAAAAACATCTTACATGGAAAAACACCCAAAAGAACTAAAATGAGAATATGGAGCCTACCACTTTCTCTCTCACTCCATACGAAATCTTCATCTTCACGCTTTTAATTAGATATAGAGATTTTAACTAACTTCACAATGATTAAGATCGTTGACACTTGAAAACTATTGGAGAATGAAACTTAAGCTCTAAAAGATGAAGTTATGAATAGTTAAATCCCAAAAACTTTTGCTGAAAGATGAGTTGCAAAATCGATTCAGACAGTTACAACTAAGAATTTCACTTGCAAATTAAAGGGAATGGCCTACAAAGTTTAAATGCCTAATTTGCAACTAAGTCTCCTATATTTGCAATTGTCTGAATTGATGTTTGTAACTCATCTTTCAACAAAATTTGTCAGGACTTAATTGTCATTAAATTCATCTTTAGGGATCTAAGTGTCATTCTCCCAAAACCTACTTATGAAATTAATCTCCATATTTACTTTTATAGGAAAAGAAGTTATATAAAGAAATAAGATAATTAACAAAAGGAGAGACAAGCACAAAACATAGAGAAGTCTTTAAAAAAGAGCAATAGAGCAGCCAATACCGTGGCAACTTGAGATCGCAAACCCCTTAGAAAAGTGAGCAGAACACCAAACTAAGGACACGAATACTATATTTTCTCACATCTCTAGAGATAAAGATACTGTTAGATATTTGAACATTCATATCCAACAAAATGCACCTTAAAACTGCTAATACCAGAAATTGCTATGGTGCTTTAGCAGTTTCTCCCTTGTAAGTGTTTTTAAACTTGTAAAACAAGAAAAGAAAACCATCCAATGTTCAAGAACATGCCCAACGTTCTCCAAGAGCTGCAAATCATTTATTCTTGAAACATGATGCAGCTATTCGATATGTAAGATAAGGTAAGAAACCAATAAGATCTTTACTCTTTAGCATTCTAAAATGAAGATGTGATTGTTGAACTTCTGTCCAAGTGCAAGCATTGAATGTGGTAAGAACTACGAAAGGAGTTGAAAATGCCCATCAAATTCGCCAAATCAGAGGTACCCTTTTGTCAGGATCCAAAAGTGGATAATATATGGGAATCTTGAGTAAAAATTTTCAATAATGGGGGATATATACTAGTATTGAATTTTCAAACACATATATAGGTAATTTTTCCACACTGAATTGCACCCAAATGAAAAAAAAAATTATTAAGTCAATTTGTTTCCTTGATATGACAAAATTTGGTAAAAAGATAATAAATTTCCTGATTGTTCATAGCCTTGAAATAGTATATGATATTGTGCAATTTTTTAATCAAATTGAAGCTCTTTGACTTTCTATAGTAGCTTGGTGGTAAAATAAGACAGGCTTTAGCCCCTTAAAACAGATGCAGTTATAACATCTTAACCCCCTTATTTGTTGAAAGACTTTCTTAGCATCATATAACACCACTAATCGATTCAAGGGAAACACACAATGTTCAGTAAATAAAAACGATAACATTTAAATATAAAATAATTACAGTTCTATCAAATAAACACATAAATTTTAAATCACTATCAAGCAGAGATCCCAGATTCCAGATACCAATCTCATGATCTTTTTTAGAAGCAGCTGCCATGCACAGTGCAGTGCCTATAGGGTTTGGAATGTCAATTGCCTCAGCAATCCCATCAGAAGTTGCAACTTCCACCCATCTTTTCACAACAGCTACATTCCATGTTGCCACAGACAAGTGCAGTGGTCTGTAACATCAAAATCCACAATAGTAAGAGCAGACATTCATGTTTTCATATAAGACTCTGACAAAGACAAATATCCTGATTCAACATCAATGCCACAATAACTAGAAAGCATTTAATATGCCAAAGAATAAATGGACTTGAAAACCCGAAAGGAATCTCGTCCACAACATCCATCTGATACTACAAGGAAAAATTTGAAGAACAAGAATGTAACAAAAGCTCATCGCTTTGGCTGTTTAAAATTAAGCAACAAAGCTAAGCAAATAATGATCTCCAAACACGTAATTAGCCATTAAGAGCTTTGGAAGTGAAGAAAATAGTTTCACTTTTGATTAGTGCTAAACTAGCTAGTACAGTGATAGAATTCAAGATAGGTAGGGAGAAAGAATGAATAGAACTCTATATTAAAATATGAAACCACAATCTAACTTCATAAATCAATACACATGAAGGATACTCTATTAGAAAATGAGCAAGGATCTTAGGCTCATACAACTAGTAAAACCTCAGGAGAATCTCCTAAAATTACAATGAATCTCAAAAATTTACTCTCTGCCTGTTACACATCCACGTATCACTACCTATCTCTACTAGCTTCTACCTTATTTACAATATAAAAATAGATATTAAATAATGATGAATAAATCAGAAAAAAACTGTTTAAATCCTAACCAACATTGACTCAATAATAAACAAATCCTAATTGAGATATTTAGGACAATATCTCTTTATTGTTTGTAGCAGAAAATAAATTAATAATTCCTAAAAATATGCTAACAGACTGACCAACTAACTTCCATCCACTTTCACCCACAATCCTATGATATATGGTACTCTATCATACAGTGTACTCAAGCTATACGATACACTCAGGATTGAGAAACTAAATTGGGTCCAAGTCACCTCGGGAATCTAAACTTAAAAAAAAAAAAAACTTAAAGTTTGGTGAATGTTGAATCAAATTAAGGAAAAAAGATGCTTGAAGTGATTCTCCTATCTACATATGTATCAATGAAGCTAAACAATCCAACAAGTTATAGCGCATGATTTATAAGGAAATTGACTAGCATCAAGCATCAACCATAATTGAGTGGAACATTAGAAGGAGCACTTAGAATTGTGTAACCACTAAATTAAATAATATGTACTCCTTCCGGTCCAATTTGTAAGACACCTTTTAGAAGTAATTTTTGGTCTAAAATGTAGGATACTTTGTAATAATTAAATCACTTTTTTTCCAATTTTACCCTTTCTTGATTAACGTAAGGTATTTAATATAGTTGTATCATGATCTAAAACCAAGGGTAAAAATAAAAATGCATCTCATTTTTTTATGACATCAAGAAAAAAAAAAAGCTTTTCTTAAAATGTTTGAAACAGTTGAAAGTGTTGTACAATAAGAACCAAGGGAGTATGTCATAAATCAGTGGAATGGGCTTGTATTAGTTATTCTATTCTGGTACTTAAATACTAACAGTATAAATAGCCACAAAAGGGAACCTAACGTTATAGGTCAGTGACCCTATTCAAACTTTTCTCTTCTTCATAAATAATTCTTTCCGGTTAAGTGTGATATGCTCATGTCCATGTCACATCACATGTATATGCTTCATAAATCCCAAAAGAGCTTTCAACGAATTGATTCCCAAATTTCTACCCTTAAGGGTTTAATCCACCTAGTAAAATCCTAATTCTAATTAATTGACAGACAAAATCCTAACCCACTCCTTGTCCAACATAAATTGCCCTGTAAAATTATTGTCTTACAAAAATAATTCATTATGACACATTACGCGTGTCAAAGAAGATAAATTAAGCAAATGCATTTTCACACCACACTATAATATAAAGGCTGTTAATGTATTTCTCAACAATTAAGTAAAACTAATTATCATACGTCTGGACCACTCAACATGCACATTCTAAGATCAAAAGAAAAGTGACAGATTTGATCCCACAACAATAAAAAAATTAAAAAAGTAAGTGGATATAAATTCCTACGTCAGATTCTTTGAGTTTAAGATGCCCATTGATTTGCTGCCTCCATTTTCCAATATTACAAGAGCACAGTCCGTGTACTTTTTGGCAACTGCTCTATGCAGTACAGTTTCTCCTTCATCATCCACTGCATTAGGATCCGCTCCAGCCAACAGTAATTCCTGTTATTTTTCCACAATAAAACTCTATGAAAATAGCTCTAATAAAGACAAATAAGAATCAGAGCACAATTCATGTGAAACATACTCGCATACAATCTGGTTGCCCATGATAAGCACAAACATGGGCAACAGAAGGGCCAAGGCCATCTCTCAACCGAGACCTTACATTAGCATTTCTTTTTATAAGACTATGGACACATTCTGGAGATCCAGCTGCTAATGCAAAAACAAGAGGAGGATCTCCATCTTTGTCCAAGACATCTACATTTGCTTCTCTGTACTCCAAAATAGCTTCAACAAGTTCTGCACTACCCCGCCTACAAGCCAGATGAAGAGCAGTTTGTCCATCAGCATTTTGAGCTTCCAATAAAGAGGATAGGTAGTCACTACCATTTTCTGATGCAGCCTTTGCAAGAAGATCTCTGTATCAAAAAGGAGAGATCATAGAGAGTAAGATCAAAATGAGGCTAAATGAAAGCAAGATGAAGCAGATCAAATGTAATGTGTCATATTGACTAACCTAACACCTCTAACATCACCTTCAGACACAAGTCGATGAAAATGGTTTGGGTTTTCTCGTGGAACTTCTGGCTCAGGTAGTGGGGAAGGCTCAATCGCATTTGCCACAGATGATTGAAGAAAGTCACTGCAAACAACAAAAATATGTGGCATTACTTATGGCAGTTAATTAATATAAATGAAGATTGTGCATGTTGCTCTCATTCACAAGGAAGCTCATACATAAATAGAAAAACCATACACGGTCTTTTATTTGGCTTCCTAATCAGATGCCATAAAACTAACTTAGAAGTTGTAAATCATTGTTTACGATAAGTTCTAACTTACTTATCAGGGCTTGCAGGAGGGCTGCGTGGTATTTCCTGCAAATGACGAAGAAATATTGCAAGCATTGCATTAAAACTGGGCCTTTTGGCTGGTTTGAACTGCAAGCACTCTCCAATCATCTTCCACAATTCCCTCGGTATTCCACCACCAACCACGCTAGCATATTGTGGTGGCAGTTTCTTTCCCTTGACAACTGATCGATAGATTTCCTCTGCACTTAAACCAGACCAACTGCACAAGCAAAGGTCTTGCACTAAGAACATCTAAAATATAAACACTAAACATTTGGGTACAAATAGCCAAAAAAAAAATATATGAATAAAGAATGAGTTGCCCCACGTACGGAACAGAACCCGTGCACATTTCCACCAATGTACAACCAAAACTCCAGGCATCCGACTCTGCAGATATACCTATAGCATCATCCCAGAACAAATTTAATGACTTCTTCACAGGTTCCCAAGCCTCTGGAGCTGTGTAATGTGGGCTGAGCATTATACACTCCATGCATGAATGGATCTTCGAGGAGTTATCACATTCTGGTCGGGCCTTCCGACAGGAAGGCTTCTTCAAAATTGTAGCAAGTCCATAATCTGAAATCACTGCTCGGCCATTTGCATCAAGAAGAAGATTGGATGGTTTGAGATTCATGCAAACAATTCCAGCAGCATGAAGCTCAGCCACCCCTCTAGCAATGTCTGCCCCATATCTATATTTGGCAAAAACTAAGTGTCACTACCTCGCCTTTCATAGTTATCATGTAAAACCAGCACTCAATATGGGAAAACTCAAATTTCATTGAGTTGACTTTGAAGCTAGCTAAATTATATAAATAAGAAAGCATGCAATCAAGTCATAGATGTACTTTGTTCTGATAAAATTGTTTCCTAAAGAATTACTCAATCTTCCTTTATTTCCACGCAGAAGCCACGGGAAAGCACAAAGGCAGCAGGAAAATAATCATTTTAAATGTTAAATAAAACATTCTCAATTTCCCTCCAAACAGACATTAACACTTCATTAGTTTGCAGCAAACCCTACTTCTACTTGCGGATTAGCAGAATGATGAATCAAATGAATATCGAGAAATTAATTCAAACCATTCAAGTATTAAGACAATTTAGTTTCTTTTCAATTACTTGCTTACGAGTTTAGCAATAACATCCTTCCTACGGGTCCACAAAAAATCCTATAAGAAACAAAAATGTTTCAGCCAAAATTTGATTACAGAACTGCTAAAAGCGGAATTCAAAACCTTAAGACTTGCTCCAAAGTAAGCCTGCCCTCATTGCGCTGCATCTCAGACTGAACTGATCCATAACACCGGTCCATCACGAGACATAAACTTTCCTCCATCCTCATTGCCCCATGAAATGTACATACGTTCCTGCACCACATTGAAGCACGACGCAGATTCTCAAGCTGTCCCTGCACCCAATCCAAATCCATCTCCTCCACTATTGTAACCTTCTTCACCGCCACTTGATGTCGGCATCGTCCATTTCCACCACCACCACCAATCACCGCTGTCCACATTTCCATACCAGCCCTCCTTCCCTCTCCTATCTGACGCAGAAATTTCAACTCTTGGTGCACTCCGACCTCTAAAACCGGTCCACAGCCGCCGGAGCTCGATGTTTGGGACCCGCGGCTACACCGACGGCGCATGACCGAGTCCTCATCATTGTCTCCATCTTCTTCACCACCATCACCCCCTTCTTCTTCATCATCAGTGAAGTCACAATCGAAATTCGAACCCGACGCATTCGAAGCCGAGTGAATAAGAGCCAATACGGCGTAGTTCTTGCGCAGAGCCTGCACAGAGTTCCCGACGACGGACACATGGCGACACCTCGGACACGCTAGCGTCGTATCTGGAGACGCCGAGAACATTCTCGAGAGACACTCTCTGCAAAAGCCATGCCCACATTGGAGCAGAAGTGGGACTCGCTCTTCCTCGTTATACCGCGTTTGGCAAACCGAACAGCAGGGCACTTTCATATTCTCCCACTCCCTGAACTTGCAATCTCAGACAGCCCCAGAAAACAAAACCTTAGCTTCCCTCAAACCCAGAGCAGATATTGTTCGATCGAAATTCGAGCTCCCCAAGATCTTGTTGACGCAGAATTGGAGTTGATAGGAGGTGGAAATGGTAGATCCACAGCCGAATAGAAGAGGAAAATTGGAGAGAGATTAAGCTGGGACCAAAGTGATCAAAGAAGCTAACGAAGGAAGAAATCTAGAGGGAGAGAGGCTCGGTGATAGAGGGAGTGGGAACAGAAGAAGAAGCAGGAGGAAGGAGCGACATGTGAGGGATTTTGGTATCATAAATAGCTTTCTTAATTTCTTTTGCTTTTCTTTCGGCTTCTTTGGGAGGTGGCTTAGGTGGGCAACGCAGTGGGCTGCTTGCTTGGACTTTCAAGTCTTTGACCCCTCTCAACCCCCTGCTTGTTTACAAAAATGAAGAAGGAGATTGTATCAAAAAAAAAAAATAGAAGGAGAAGAAATTTTTTTCACAACAATAAATTATCGTTATAAATTTTTACTTTTATCCTCTATTAATTTTTTTAAACAATATGTTTCTTGAAGTATATATATTTAATAGCATCAAATTTAAAAATTTATTAAATTTTTAGATAAATTAATAAGTTTTAAATTTTTTCTTAATTCCAATAAAATATATTTAAAATGACTTATAAATTGAATCATAAGAGTATTGCGATTTGTACTACCAATTTTTATATATTTAGAACTCTCTCCTGATCTTATTATAGGATGCCTTTTAGAAAAGATTCTTTAGAAGGTCATTTATTTCCATTTGCCAGTTTACCATATTGTAAATTTAATTTTATAATTCATATATCATGTATCTCTTTTTTCTTTTTTTAATAAGGGTAAAGTTGAAAAAATTATTTTAAAACATACTTGATAAATTAAATGTCATTCATTAGTTCTAGTGAAGTAGTTAAAAATGCTTTATAATAGGAATAAAAAGGAGTATAATATAATATAATTATTAATTAATAAATAATAAATAATTTTAAAGATGAGTATATAAGTTTTATAATTCAACCTAACTTATGTATATAATATTTGTTGGCACCAAATTCTTATAAGTTTTGATGATTATAAATGTTAAATTTCAATTGAATAATTATTTCCTAATTTTTTTGGCCAAAGAATAATTATTTACTAATTGAGTCATATTAAAATTTGTATTTATGATCAATATGTGGCTAACAAACTTGTTTGTTAGTAAATGGATCATGGTCAGAAAAGATAAAGAATGTTGTGACTATGACTTCTCTCTATTAAGCACACAATCCACTGAAAAGGTGGGAAGAGTATGAGAGTATGACTGGGATAGCATATGTTGTTACTTGTTAGAGACTCTTTTGGTTGGCTTCTGATGAATAGATATACTAATTAATGTGGAGTTGATTCGTTGTTTATCGGGGAGTGTATGGCAATATTGTTGATGAATTGTTATTTGAAGAAAACTAATCAGTTATTGACTAGATAGCTCCTGTTTCATTAAAGGGATTGTACCTAGTTGATTGGGTTTTGAGACCTCCAATCCCTTTGTTGGCACTATTGAAGTTAGATTGTAGTGGAAACTTTGATCATGGCTAAATGTTCTATCTTTTTAGTTTATGTATTGTTTTGGTTCTTTTTATACTTCAGACCTTTTGATTGATTTTGATACATTCCTTCTGTAGGCAAAAGAATAATAAGTACATAGTCTACTACAATAGTAAGCTATTGGACTAAATTTCATAATGGACATTTGATAATTTTTAAAGTGTCAATTAATTTACATAATTAAAATTTAGGGAAAACATGTGTGAGTCCTTATAATTTGCTTCGATTTTAATAAGCCCTTGTAAAATTATTTGTTGATATTGGACCCTTATACTTTAACATGTTAAGCATGTTAGTCCTTGGACCATTAACATCATCAAAAAAATGTGATCTATCTTATGAAGATAGAATTAGGTCCTCAATAAGTGGATTCTTAATGTAATAAGTTTAGCCAACATACTTCACCTTCATGCTCATTGGTATTTGGACTTCTTTGTTTTTCAAGCTTGTTGTCACGATCTCTTCTCTATGTCTCTAATTTTAGAACGTTCGTCCATGCTTTCCAGTTTCGTGTTTCTTTGCATCTCAACATTAGTAGTGAGATGAATCAAACAAGTGAAATTGAGACGAGAGAGAAGAATAATCAAAGATGAAAATAATGAAATGGCGTATCAACTGACTTCATTAAACTCTTATAACAGTCACATGAATATGGCTCTTTTCTAGTACGAGCAAGTTCATGCTATCATGCACACCAACAATTTCTCTTCAAAAAATTCAATTGAAAGAGCCCATTGACTCATCATTATTTGCCTACTCAGACTAAAACTCCTCTAAAGCTTCCTTTTATAGGAAACAACACATTTCACCTTCTTTAGGGCTGGCTATTTGTAATATCCCAAATTTTAAATCCCAAACTTAAGGTATTAATATGGAGATTAGGAATAAATTTAGATTTTATTGGTTCGGGGATGGTTAAAATGGACTTTTAGACCTAATTTTTGTCGAATACAACCTTAGGATTAGGCCTAGAAACTTAATAGGCCGTACGGGGCCAAAAAGCAAAGAATTGATAGGTAAAAGCTTTACCCGCCCATGGATGAAAATAAAAATGGAGAGTTTCATTTTTGCTCCTATCTGTACACAAACAGAATTGTGAAGCCCAAGACCTCACACAAGCAAATCTTTAGAAACGCATCATAAGTTCTGAAATTTGCAAAAAAAAATAGAGAGGAAGAGAAAGGGATTGGAGAGGCGTTGGAGGACTCTACAATGGCAACAATTTTGGGCATTTTTGGGATAGCAATCATCTAAGGTAAGTTCACACAACATTTATCTTTCATTTAGGCTAATTTTTGAGTTAGGGTTTCTCCGTTTCGCCTGAAATCCAAACCCTATGACAATTTTTGGACTATGGGTTGTTGTTAGATGAATTAATGGAGCTAAATGATGTTATTAGATATTAGTTTCTGCTCCGATAACATGGAATTCATATGGGTTGACCTTGAGGTCTGAATTTCTTAATTTTAGGCAAAATCCTAGCCTCTTTGAGGAAAAATTTGAGTTATAAGTTGTTATTATTGATGATATTTAAATTGTTGGGAGTTCAATAAAACTAATCAAAGCTAATAAATTCTTTAGAATTGAAGTTATACTTGTTGGAATTATTGGTATTTAAAGTGGATAATTGAGAATTGAAAGTATTATGTTTTGTTAGGTATTTAGTGATATTTCTTATTATAAATTGTAGATTAATTTTTTTTGGCACATTATTTGAGCTTGGATTTAGCTCAGGAAGCAAGATATATTAGGGTAATCTTTGATTCCTCAAATGTTTGAGATAATTAGGGGATCTATTGCTTGTTAGATTGATTTAGGATATTTTGTGAACATGATTATTATATATTTATTAAATTGTAAATTTATTTATGGTTTTAGAAAATATATGTAAATGGGATTCTTTCCTTGTTTTCCAAATTATAGTATATTATATTGAAAATGATATATTATTTTTCTAGTTTTATGATGAACATGTACATATATTATGATAATGGAATGCTTGTAAACATTGACTATATTACTTTATACATGCTTGAATTTATAGTGTTGCAAGATTTGCATGATGATAAACCGTACATAGTAGCATGATCATGATTTGGGCAAGAGGATACCCTAAGAGGAGTAGATTACTTTCCACATGAAACTATATAACTAACACCATGTGTAGCTCTAGTGTTTGGTTTAATGAGTCAAGTCTTCTTGAATCTCATCTTGAACTAGGTATAAATGTAGGTGCCTAGACCTATTGCCTTTTTATATCACCTTATACTGGGTGTAGTGATGGGCATTGTGATACCTCAATGGATTCAAGAATTAGGGAAATCTATAGTCCAAGATTGATTGAGGCATCTTTTGCCAAGTATCTCCTCATGATTGGAGAGCTTGGGTTAGTCCAATTACACAAACTCAGTCCTATAATTTTTAGCCCATAAATTCAATTGGCAGTATATGGAGGAGAAAAAAAGTTGATGATCATGCATTTAATTATATCATGGAACATGATACTATGTACATAATAATGTACTTTATGCTTTGATGTGGTTTTATAATTTTCCCACTTTGTATGCCTTTATTGATTTAACTTGCATATGTTTGATTTAAAGCTTTCTTTGATTATTGAGTAGTTGTACTCACACATATCTCAACATTTTACAGGCATTATCTCTGGTTAGAACAAGAGAAAAACTTATGAGGCTTAGGAACTTTATAAGCCTAACACATGCCTCTCTTTTGTCATTATGTATGATTTGATAATGATATTACCAACTAGAAATATTAGTTTAATTACTTGAATTACTACATATTATTGCCATTACTTGGTTGTATTTAGTCCCGTAAGTTGTGATTATCTGTGAGGGCCTAATTACTAGTACAAGTATGTTGAGGATTATTTTGTTAGCTGTATTTATGCCGTAAGTGATCCTCAGTCCTTTGGGGGGCTCAGCCTAGGTTATGGTCTATGTTACTAGCATTTGGTTGGTAGGGACACCCTAGTGATTTAAAATTTATAATAGTATTAATGTGTGGCTAAGAGTCCATTATATGGAAATTGTTGTATTTTAAAAAGTAGAACAAGTGTTAATATCTAGTTTTGCTATTTGAATTCTTTAGAACTACCTAGACTCCCTTATTTGGATGTTGGATGTTGGATTGGGGTGTGATGAACATTCACTTTTGGTAGTTGTTTATGTGATAGTAACATGTTGTCTAGGTGCTTGTGTAATGTATTACTGTGCACGGCACCTACATAATGGTATACTACACAAGGGAAGTTATAGAATGGTAGGTTATGTGTAAGCCATAACGACACTTTTGTGATTGGCAAATTCATTTTTATCATTTTTTCTAAATGATTTTCAAACTAATTAGTATCTGATGCTTCCAAATACTTTCAACTCTTATTTATGATCATACTTTGCTATGCATTAGCTTGAATTGTCAATTTGGGATCTTAATAAATTGTGAATTTATATTATTTTATTAAATGGTTTATATTTAGTCAAAATAACCATAGTTGAGCTTTAAACTCAGGTCTTGTCTTTTCTACTATGGTTAGTTTTAACTAATTGCAATTATCCTTTTTACCATGATAAGGTGACTAGGATGATTAATTCCCAATTACTATGGTAGTCTGCTATGTTATAGTTAAGTCTTGTCCTAATTGAGATAGTTGTACACTACTCGCCACAATT